TTTTTTTTTCATACTGGAAGGGTACAGAATTTCAAAGGAACGTTCTCAAGTAATATCTGATCCGTTCTTCAAGTCCAACCGTACAATATCAGTTAGTTGATGCGCTGAGGTGCTATAAAATTTTTTTCTGCAAAATGCCTTCGTACGAATGCCTTTGTAAATGTTGATTGTCTCTCTTGGAAAGCAGTAAATTAACTCGATACGAAACTGTTCACATTACAATTGGAATTAAAATTGTTTAAGATGCAAATCTCAATGTGTGATTGGGGAATATGAAAATTCCGAAGGAAGAAAAAACAATTTTTTTCCTTCACAAAACTCGAAATTTTTTCGCTTTGCAGATATCCGACTTGTCGTGTAATTGTATATTCACACTGTTTTGCCAGAAAATTGGATTTGCTTGTTGTTAGCATGTTGAAAATTTATCACAGTAGACTTGAAGCCCCAAAAGCTCAAAATCTTACTTCATAAATTCTTCTCCTCTTCGATGTTCCATAATTCTTTGAAACTGAGAATGTTACAGTGATATGTATGTTTTTTTTTATTATTCTTACGAATTCGCCCGAAAAGTAGTCATTTTTGTTGAGATTTACGTTATTTGTTAGTTTCTGTGTGCTTCGTAATTTTTAATGTTCTGTAAGCGTGTATGTTGACACTTCAGCTTGTCTACGATTCAACGAAACAACTTCAGTAACTTCAGGTAAAAAATCCAGTTTTTTGCAAGCAAAAGAATCCACTTGAGCTCATCGAAAATGTCCACTGAGGAGGCTGTTGCAGATATTGCTGTGGTTGGTTTAGCCGTAATGGGACAGAATTTAATTTTGAACATGAACGATAAAGGCTTTGTGGTTCGTTTATTATTCTTGACATTTTATCGCATTCAAAGATGCACTTTATTCTTTGCATATTTCCATTTTTCTGAATGTTATCCGTGTTGATGAAGAAGGTTTTCCGGTGTTCTATGAAAAAATACGTTTGCAGAGTGGCGCAAAATGTGATTTGTACTGATGAGATTGATTTTAAGATAGCATCATCAATGCTATTTAGGTTTGCGCCTTTAATCGGACCGTTTCGAAAGTTGACGACTTTTTGGCGAATGAGGCGAAAGGAACGAAAATTGTTGGGGCGCATTCATTCGAAGAAATGGCAAGGTTTGCGTTTCAAACTCATGAAACACAATCGGGAAATTTATCCAAGACGTTTGACATGTTTTAATTTACCTGTTCTCGGCTTAAAAACTGCCAAATTTCTTCAACAATTTGATTCCTTCCATTCCAAATCCGATATCTTATTCTCATTCCAGAGTTCAATTGCATAAAACAGTGCCATTTGATTGCGTGAAATTGAAATGCCATCTGTAAATCTGGGCCAGCCTAAAACGAATTGATTTCCGAACCACTGTCAAATCATGTCCCAACCTAATGAATTTCAAGGAAACTGAAGCGTCCCAGACGCGTTCTATTACTGGTCAAAGCTGGCAGCGCTGTGGACAGTATGATTGAGAAGATGTTACCGTATTTGGAGAAAGGGGATATTATTATTGATGCAGGAAATAGCGAATATACTGACACGAATGTTGGTTCTTATTCATTATTGTGTTATGTATAACAAAATTCTGAATGGACAGTTTGTGATACGATTCCTTCGTTCATGTTACGTGAGCAGTTTCTTGCAATGTCTTCAGTCTTGCTCGCTGAAAAAATTACTTGCCGAATACTGAGACGTCATTTCTCCATCGAATGTTATTCTGAAATGAAGCGAATACTGAGAAATGTTCTGATTTTATAGCGTCGTTACAAAGAATTGGGTGAGAAAGGATTTTTGTTCGTTGGTTCTGGCATCAGCGGTGGTGAAGAAGGTTGGTGTGAAGTTCAGAAATGTTTTGTCTTAATTTCTATTCTCCGATAGTGAGTGATTCTCATATTGGTTACGAGAGCTAAACAATGAGTGAATTTGATTTGAAGGTGCACGACACGGGCCGTCGATGATGCCTGGTGGAGCACCTGAAGCATGGCCACATATTAAGGATATATTCCAGAAGGTGTCTGCAAAAGTTGGCACAGAATCGTGCTGTGATTGGGTTTGTTGTCTAACGCTTTTTGTTGGTTTGTTCTGCCTGAATCCCTCAATGATTTCGTTTCGAAAGAAGTTCTCTGTTTAGGTGCGGAGACACCTCATATGCATCCGAATCACAATTGAAAAGAAACTGTTTGCGACAGTCAAAGAGCTGTTGAAGCTGAATTGTTTAATGAGCTGGAACGTAGGTGTTGTTTATGGGAAATGATGCATAAATGAATTGCTTGTGTGATTTAAAATTCGTCTTACTCGTATCAGTTTTTATTGCTATCAGTTTCAGGTAGGTGAGGCGGGCGCTGGACATTTCGTTAAAATGGTCCATAATGGTATCGAATACGGTGATATGCAGCTAATTGGTGAAGCTTACAGCTTGTTGAAAGACGCAGTCGGCTTGAATCACGATGAAATGTCACAGGTCATTAGAATTTCTCTTCGTCCACCTATGTTCACTCGTCATCTAAACTCTAATTTTATATTCCTGTTCAACTAAAGAACTCAGTCGTGTTTGTGTGAAGGGTTTGTTTTAATTAAGAAAATTGTTCATCTTGTGAATGTGGTTCGTAGTCATCATTTCAACTCCATTAAGGTATTCGACGAATGGAATAAAGGTGATCTGGACTCGTATCTGATTCAAATAACAGCCGAAATTCTTCGATTCAAAGACGACAAAGGACAATCACTCGTGCCACAAATCAGAGACACAGCTGGACAGGTACTGCCGGTGTTTCGCATCCAGTTCTGTTTCCAGCAATGCTCTCAGTACTTTTTGCTCCACAATACTGATGAATATATTTGATTTTGTGTGCATCATTTCAGAAAGGTACAGGCAAATGGACCGGTATAGCCGCGTTGAATTATGGTATTCCAGTCACTCTTATTGGTAAGTATATTTTGTGGATCATTTGGAAATTGCCGCTCAAATTGAAATTTATTGAATTTTTAATGTTTATTTTTTTAAAATTCATCTTGAGCAAAATTTGGAAAGCCGAAGTTAAACATTGATATGTGCTGTGGAGATAGGATTGCAGCCAACTTCGTTCAGGTGTTCTTACTTCTGTTCGTATATTTTAGCAGTGCTGAGAGTTTTGTTTTTCGTTCAGGTGAAGCTGTCTTTGCGCGTTGTTTGTCGGCGTTGAAGAATGAACGTATCACCGCCTCAAAAGTTTTGGCTGGTCCCAAAACAAAATCTAACGAGTACGTGAAGGACAAGAAAGAGTTCATTGAGCACATTAGAAAGGCTGGTATTATTTTCTTTACCTGGTTTCTGGCTTATGTTGGCGTTTTGATTATCGCAGAGTTGACTTTCGTCTAGTTCTGTTTTGTACGACAAATCAAATATATTGCGTCGTTGAAAATCTCTAGAACTTTTGAGTATTCAGGCATTGTACGCATCGAAAATCATCAGCTATACACAAGGCTTCATGCTAATGGCTGAGGCGAGTCGTCAGCATAACTGGAAATTGAATTTTGGTGCAATTGCGTTGATGTGGCGTGGAGGTTGCATTATCAGATCACAGTTTCTGGGTAATATCAAACGAGCATTCGACGAGAATCCAATGTTGAACAATCTTTTGCTCGATAAATTCTTCACGAACGCTATTCATCAGTGCCAAGTGAGCAGTGGTTTTTATCTATTGATACTCTTATTTTTTGGTAGTTCTCTCGTATTGCACTTCTCGAATTTTGCTTTCTTGATTCACTTGTGAAAATTTGAAAAGGTTTGTTATTAATTATTCGTTGTGATTTACTAGGATTCGTGGCGTAAAGTTTGCGCGAGTGCAGTTATGCTTGGTATCCCGACACCAGCGCTGAGTACCGCATTAGCCTTTTATGACGGATATCGTCATGAGGTGTTGCCTGCAAACCTCGTTCAGGTAGGCACCAATGCATATATTAATGATCTGATGAATGGCTGCTTATTTTTACTTCTCAAAGTTTTTGTATTGCAAACATACGTGTACTTGTTTTGCGAATATATCTGGAATTTTTTAAGGGCAGCAGAATCACACAATGTTTTTGCACTCATTATGATTGTATTATTTGTAAGCGCTGAAAGGAAAGCGGAGAGCTGACATGGCCGCATGGCTCTTTCCTTTGGCACTCTTACGATTCCATCCACAACTCGCAATTCGTGCTCGTTTGAACCGATTTATTCAGTTAAAAGTTTCTGATATAATTTATTTATTTTAGGCACAACGTGACTACTTCGGTGCACATACGTATGAGTTGTTGAATAATCCTGGCACCTGGGTGCATACGAATTGGACTGGAACTGGCGGGCGTGTTGCATCAAGCACGTATACGGCATAATGCCTGCCTGTGCTGTAGATGATTACATTGCAAATCCATAGGATTGATTAGCTTGAAATTCGTATTCCTTATAATGAAACGTAGCACAATATTCAGTTTCTGTATTCAAATAATTTCCTTCCATCTATTTTTATTTTCTTCACTTACCTTCCTTGCATTTTCTTATGTTGAAATGTTGGATCGAGTCGTATCTGTGATGCACTATTGTCCTATTTAAATGTGTGTATTCATTTCCAATGTTCCCTATTGGATTTAATGTTATATTTCATATTTCAGCGAGAACAAAATACAGAAATACTTGTTTGGAAATCTCTGTAATGTTGATACTCTACTGGTCATTGAAAGTTGTGATGTTATAGTGTTGGGTAGATGTATCGTATTTTTGCAGTGTCACTGTTTTAGAATATTTTGTTGGTTTTATTCCCTGTAAGCGTTTTTTTTCGTAGAGAAACTGATGAATGTCATCAGAAATTGATCTGTTACAATTGTAATCTGTGTGCTGTCATTTTATAATTATATTATCATTATCATTATTGTATCATGATCATTTCATACTACAATAACGATAATGGTAATACAATTATTTTTACCACTATTTTATATATTCTTATTATGGTTATCACTTTTGCTATAGCTATCATTATTACGAATATTACAATGAGACTGTTTCCATAACACTGTCATTCTCGTCAGATTGATAATTTGGTTACTGTTTACAAAGCGATTTAACACTTTTCCGTAATAATAAATTTAATAAAGGAAATAAGAAATATTTCCATTTGCACTGCATCATTTTTTACTATCATTGCTTCAAAGTAAACAAAGATCAATGAGGTAAGATGATGATCAGTCATGAGGTAACTAAGAATTGATCAAGGATTGGAACCCAAACGAAACTGTAAAAAACAGTCAACATCAGAGCAAAAATCAGTAAAGTTGTAGAACAACCAAAGAAATCTAGAAGGCAGCGATAGACGACTGTCGATGAAAATCGCAAATGATTGGTAGAAATACCAATAAAGACAAACGAATGCGAGAAAATAGCAACGAACGTTTCAAAAACAATCCGAACGGAATGTAACTATGCTGGAAGAGAGGTTTTAAAAGAAGTCAAACAGCACTGATGCAAATCTCATTGTGTCACATTCACAGAGTTATTATTGCTAAACGTTGATGATTGCCTAATGGGTTCACATTCCAATTACGTGAACGTGAATCCTGAGGTACGATACGTCCGATAGACTTTCTCAATCGAGTTCACATAGGCCGCTGTACGGAAGTCAAGTCCCAAATCGTATTTCTTAGCCGTTTTGATTATTGCTTTGCCTGAAATTACAATTGAAACACCGGTTAATATCTTACCCGGCATGAAAATTGCAAATTGCCCATGGAATAAACAAGTTTCCAATGTTGCCTTCAGTTCATAATACGATGGATACTGACGTTAAGATCTGATATGTAGTGTAATAGTAGATCAATTCATTTCATAAGAGCATTGAAACGATTCACTCTAGCGAAAATGGCAAAATAAAGTACTACGTTCAGCGGCTGATACCCGCTACCCTGTCTTGGACGGACAACCCAAGAATGTTCAATCAGCCTGGAAATGCGGGTTCCTAAGAGACGTCTTTGCCGGTGTATATTGCAAGTAGACCTGCATGAATTTTCTCCTATGTGCATGCAATGTTTCGTTCATACTGAACTGGAGTTAGTACCTGATCGTTGCATAGTGTATGCGAGTCCAGAATGTACGATATCCTTTTCCGAAGCGCCCGCAATTCGGGCTCTGAATGCTTTCGATGGTTGTATGTGCACCCTGTCATGCATCGAGCGATTCAAAGATTCCTCCACACTATCTGCAAACGCAATCAACATAAAACTTCTGACATTTCATCCGTATTTAAAGCATCGTTCATCGTACATTATCCGAAAAACAAGAAACTTCAGTTTCATATTCCGAAAATTTACATCAACATGGTTTAAATACTTTTTCCGGTGTAACATTCATTCAGTAGGTCACCCCACGAATGGGTTGATGAACTGTTGCTAGAATCAGTTTCAATGTTTTTCCTTAAACATAAGCAAGAAAGATGAAAACTGAAAGCTGAATTCTCCTGAAGCAAAATTATTCCAGTCAGTAGTCGATAAAAATGTTTATCAAAAGAATCGTATCGATACTTTTGCTCTGAAAGTCTCACTCAAAGTTTCTAATAAACTGACCCAACAGATGATAATTTGAGTCCTTCTCATATTTGAACGTGAGCCGACCGAAGCTGACGTGATTCAGATTCTTCAACCACTCAAAGTACGATACCGTCACACCACCACTATTCAAAAACATATCAGGTATGATAAAGCAATCACCGCGGCTCAGAAGCATTTTGTCGGCAGCTGGAGTGACCGGGCCGTTCGCCGCCTCGGCAATTATCTGAATCCATCGAATCAGCAAATCATTATAATTGATTTTGCGGTATCCTATTTTATCCACTAGAAAATTCATTACAAACGAGCCTCACATGATCATCTAAAGCTCATCTCATCGAAATCATTTTCAACCGTGATAACAGCGTAACTAACGTTGCTTTAGAACTTTCAACACAATTC